GGTGCAGTCGATTGTGGCCCGTTTGGGAGGGCTTGCACTTCAGTGGGCCAACTTTTGAGGCCAATAAGGGCCAAAAATGGCTGGCGGACTGGGCTATTACAGTAAGATTGGGCCACATATTTAGGGCCTGGAGGAGAGGTTCGCCGATCCAGAGAGAGCCAAGGAAGCTGTTGCAGAGCTTATGAGGATAGGACAGTCACAATGGCAGGGATCCCTCTCCAAGCTCTATGCAGTTTGGGAAAGACTAACCTCTACCACTGGGTTATCAATGTCAGACTAGGACAAATTGTAGTTGTGTATCCAAGCTACTCCGATAAGCTATGCACATACCTTATATACTGCAGCCCACAAGGACATGAGGGTCTTTGGCGGAGCAGCCTTGGATTTGGAGGCCAAACTCCAAATTCAGTCCACTTTCCGGAAGAGAAGCACCTCCCCTTCTCAGGGTCAGAAGAAAAGTGAAGGGAGGTTGCATGCCATGGAGTATGAGGAAGACTCTGCAGGCTTTGACCAGAGGGGATTGACCTCCTCAACTGGTCAAGGTGCAAAGCGCTGTCGAGCGCATTGGTCCCACTGGGGGACCATCCCGGCCTCGTCACACAAGATTCGTGCAAGACTTTCTTATCACGGTGCAATGGAGCTTCTATCACCGCTCCGGCCGAGTGCGCCAGTCATACCTCTTGTGAACCCCTACGACAGGATAGGGCCATGCGAGGTACAACTACCTCCGCCCAAGGGGTTGTCACCACCCTTGAACGGGTGTATCCCCGCCGAGCTACCGAGCCACGTGCGAAAGCTAATCAGCTGCAATCGCATAGGTGGCCTAGTCGAGGGCGTTTCTAGTTCCAAAACGACTCAGTTCCCTGCCTCCAGAACCTCACCCAAGTTCCGGCAGAGCCCCCGCAATGGGTGGGGCAACCTCCCACAGAGGCCTTGGCACAAATTACCGGCTGCAATCTCGCCTGCCGCCTTCCTCTCTGAACCAAAGACTAGACTGAGGCAGAGGGAGATAAGTGTAGTCACTCAGATCCAGGAGAGGTGCACTCAGACTCGTGTGAGAGGGCCTTGAAGCCTTCAGCCGCCTGAGGGCCCTGCAATAGTGGCCAAAATACGCAGCAACTTGGTTAACTGGAGTCAAACCACCAACTGTTGACTCCCTGACGACCCTCCAAACCACAACAAAGACCCCCTTGCAGAGCCTGACCACTTTCGTGGATTGCAGCGCCGTTTCTCCTGACCAACCTGCCACCACTCAGCCTAAGCTGCCTCTGCTCAGCCTAGTACAACTGCGTGCAAATAGAGCACACCCTCGAGCTCCATCCAAAATGCAGGCAGGACACAACATAACTCAAATAAGAGCTATGCATACAACGATCCTGGCCCCCGCAAGGAACTGTAGTAGTGCACTGAGAACAAAATACCATGTCACAGTACCACACTACAAGGCTCAACAATATAGTGCAAAACACGGCAATCCACGACACTTGATGTTATCATTAGACCGCATGCAGCAGTATGGACACTCTGTGCCTCAGCAGCAATCAGCAGCAGACACCACGGTCTGTAGTAGCCGCAGCAACCGTTGTAGCAGAAACATTGACAAGATAACACAGTTGGGCAGCCTGGGTGCACAGCCAAGGCACTGCAAAGGATACCGCAGTGATCAAGCTGCCCGGCGATCCGCAGTGCCTCAGTCACACAGCACCACCAACCTCCTTAACACCGTCAGCTCCGCTTGCCAGGTAAGCAGTTCCTTAGCTCTCCTTCCTACCTCTTTTGTCCCTCCTCTTACTTTGTCTCTCATATACTCTTTCTCCTCTCAAACATTCGTAACTCAGTCTTGAGCTGCGTGAGTAGGAGACTCAACCATGGCGTCAGCTTGTCACCTCTGTACAAACGAACAGGTTCTCCCGTGGATCGGGAAAGAGTCGTGGAAGACAGGATGATGCTCTCAAGCAAACATGAGGCAAGGAATCAGCGTGGCCACGAGCGCGCAAGTAGGAGACTCAACCATGGTGTCAGCCTGTCACCTCTGTATGAACGAACTGGTTCTCCCGTGGATCGGTGAAGAGTCGTGGAAGACAGGATGGTGCTCTCAAGCCAACATGGGGCAAGGAATCAGCGTGGCCACGAGCGCAGAAGTAGGAGACTCGACCATGGCGATAGCCTGTCACCTCTGTACGAAAGAACAGGTTCTCCCGTGGATCAGGGACGAGTCGTGGAAGACAGGATGGTGCTCTCAAGAAAACATGAGGCAAGGAATCAGCGTGGCCACAAGCGCGTCGAAGAGTGCTGTGTAAAAGGCATTTCGACCGCAATAAGTACGAACTTCAAGATGACGACTGCCAGAACAAAGCTGGGGACCGTGACCTCTATGAACACCACGAGCAGCAAATGGCCTCCTTCTACTATTCACCAAACTGTGCCGAGCGAGACTGAATCTTCCGCCAGAATATGGGAAGACACATTACAGTTTAAGCCCAAACTTCCTTTGTTGCTCACGTCACGTCCACTGCTCCTCTTCTTGCTGCGCACCCTTTCCTCCGCTTTCTTCCATATGTCTGCCTTCACGCTCTACTCTTCCCCCCCTGCTGCGAACGATCCGAAAACCACCGCAGAAGCGCATCACAACAATGGCACTGTCGAATCAGGTACGAAGGTTACGACTATCGGGCCAGTACCGGACATGCTATTTTCGAGTAAATCTTTGGCTGGAACGTGGGAAGATACGCCCACCATCATATGCAAATAGCGGATGATTTTTTCCCTGGAACATGGGAAGATACATTACCATCTGCCACATTACGCCAAATCCTACCTGGTACCCACGGCTCCTGCAACCTGACTTTCAGGTCGCCTTGTGCCTCCGATCGTCCGAGGAATTTGCACACCTTGATAGACCGCGCCTGCCCTGCCCTTCCGTTCGACTCTCAGTCTGCTGTCCGCCTTCGTGATCACAGCTACGCTCCGGCCAGGTAAGTATGCACTGCCCCACCCCTGTGCCTTCTCTCTCTCTTATTGATAGGATGAGCAAAGTTGAAATGAACCTTCCAAACAGAGGAAGGTACATCGATCTCCCCAGCCCGTTCACACTCACGACAACTCGGCGCACCTTCTTACTCTCCCCGCGCCTCTCCGGGCACTCCAACCCAAAATCTAACACCGCTATTAGATTCTCCTCGGCTCAATACCCCGGAATCACCTCGTTGCTCGTCCGATTCTGTCAAGAATCGGATGAGCTTAACATCTTCCTCTCTGCCATATCTTCCATCCACCATCTCCCCCGCAGCTCTTTCTCTCTCTATCTTCTATAACACTAACTTTTCACTAAAACTAACCTCAAATTCGAATTCGCCCAGGGCCAAATCCCCCAAAACGACCTTTACTCTGACCGATTCCGTTAAGAATTGGGATGACAATGTCGTTTCTACTCCGCAGTGCAGCTTTGTGGATGGCAGCACTGGGCTAGGCGCCCAAGTACTGAAGAGCGCTTCCTCCTATTTGTGTGCTGTTTTGGGCAGCTGCCACGAAGCAGCTCTTTGAAGTCTTCTTCCATGTGGCAGGCCTTCATCTTCATCGAGTTGGTGTTCTTGTTCGTCATCCTAGGAGCTGCGCTCCCCTGCTGAGTGGACACATCATCTGCAGCTGGGCTGCGCGAGTGCTGCATAGTGATGCATTGGGTTCAGGAGGGTGTGTGGCATTTGCTGGCTTGTCTGGTTGGGCGCTGAAACTGGGAGTGGCGCCATAGCTCGAGCTTGGGGATAGTGGGAGGAAGAAGAAGACTCCTGGTATTTCGATGAAACTTTGTAAAAAAATGGTCCGTGGGTGTTTATAACGTGGTTGGGATTCTTGGGAAAGTTCGTGTGCTGATTGAATTAGGGAGAGAGTTCGAGAGACGGTAATTAGAAGTGATTTTCAATTCAATTCTATGTTGGGTATTTGTGTGCTTCCGCTGTGTATTTTCCTTATCTGGTTTGGTGTGGATTGCTCTCTCCAAGTCCACTTGTCATTGCGCATGTGTATGCGAACGTGTGGTTGCCATGTTGGATTTCGTTTCAATCAGGCACATAACAAGTTCATCTTGTTTCTGTCATCATCTTCAAAATATCCATCTGACCTTCAATTAGTCAATTCCATGCAGCATACTTTGTGGTGGAGGACAACTGCATGACACTGTATGGGAATGTAGAAGAAAAGTAGACGTTTGCTGCACAATCTTTCTGTGCTGTACTTTGCATTCCTGTCTGTTGAGTCAATCTTGACCGCATGTTTTATGAAACAGACTCTGCATTTCGAGTCCCTTGGGAAAATAGGCGGAGGTTTGTGTGGAAAATTTGTCACCCACAAACTATGAAAAAGGTTGTCCGAAAGCTTCTTCTTCGTCATTGGTTGCCATCCCGGCCAGACACTTGGGGCAAAGCCTTGGTGTTAGTACACCCTTGGATCATGTGCATGTCGTCCTTGCATGGATACCCTTAGGAGCACCTAGCTGTATGCTTGGGCAAGTTTACATGATGGAATTCATGAATGACATGGAGACTCACAAAGATTTCTGTGCTTGGTTCTCAGGATGAGATACATGAACAGTGGTACCTATGATGTTAGAGCCTTTGAGAGCAACAGTGCATGAAGGGAGACTCTGACTGTGCGACATGCACCACCGGTGCTATGTTCGCCAGGTTCATGGTTTTGAAACCCTAAACCTCAGACATAGCACTAGTGGTGCCTGCCCTAAGGCGCCAGCCTAATGAATGACATGCTGCAGATGTGTGCAGGTCTCCTCTATGTGGCCATGCGTCTTGTCACATTTGTGCATCCAGTGTCATGGCATTTCCTCTCTTTTCACCAAATGTGGTAAGCAGCGTTTATTGTTGTTTTGTCCAATGCCGTTGGAATTCACAGAATAAAGATATCGGCCAGATGACAATTTGTCCGTATTTGTAGAGTTCATTGGCTGCTGACTTGTTGAACTGTGAACTCATGTTGCCCCTGGCTGTCAGGAATGAGTTGAAGCACAGCGCACAGAGGGCGGGGCTTCCTACGTTCATAGTGTCAGATGCGGGAAAAACACAGGTACGTCCGTGACGGCTGCCTGAATGCTTTTGCATGTTGCAGTCCTGTTCACTTCTTGTGCATTCTTTCCTTTGTTTTCCTTTTATCAAGCCCCGAATGTTCCTGTATGTACCCATCTGATTGATCTGATCCCATCAGGTTTAGAAGCCATGGATGTTTTTATCAAATGTGCGGTCTTCAGAGGGGTTCATCTGGGCAACCGAGTGGCCGAGTACTGTGGATGACTGCCATCTGTCTAGCATCCCACCTCTGCAACAACCTGGTCCTATTCTCATCAACCTGCTGCTCCTTTATCATTACTGCTGCAAAGATATTCAATATTGCTCTGAGTCATGCCACTATAAACTAGACATTGTAAACTCATATTTGTACAAGTTATAAACACACAAGTTGGACGCGCCTCGGCTTTGCTAGCAGCAGAGCGGGTACTGCCATTCATGGCAGGAAGTCGCCCACAGACGACGGAAGGAAGTGAAGAACAAAAAGCAATTTGTTTGGTCCGGTTGCTTCGGTGAACCACTTGAGCCCCGATCCATTTCCGGTGCGATGAAGCTAGCCCAGGGCACAGTGCAGTGAGATCCATTTTTGGTGCGATGAAGCCGATCCAATTTCGGTGCGATGAAGCTAGCCCCATGAGCCCCTATCCATTTTCGGTGCGATGAAGCTAGCCCAGCCAGCGTCCGAACCATTTTTTTTCCCTGCACATTGACACAATACACCTCCCGTCATTTGGGCACAGTTCCATCCATACTGTGCTAACCTCAGCTCCTGCCCCTTTCCCTCCCTCTACTTTTGGTTCTTCTTGCTTTCTGGGCTCTTAACCTAGGTTCTCTGCATCCCTGCTCCCTTCTGGGCTCTTAACCTAGGTTCTCCTCATCCCTGCTGCATTCCTTGCTAACTTTCAATTCTTTGCTTGATCAGTAGTTCCGTCCATCTATGGCGGTTGTGTTGCCAACTCATCATCTACATCCCAGCAGTTTGAACTCTGGCGGAATCCTCCCTGAATTTGCAGCATTCTTCAAGATCTGTTGTCCAATCTACGGCGGTCATGCTGCAGTCGTCCTTGATAAGTCTTCGGTTCGAACTGCAGTAGAATGCATCGATAGAAGAACATTATGGTTTTGTTTAGTGGTCTGGCATTTCTTATGCCACCATGGTCACTGCCACACACACAAGAAGCACTCACGAAAAACACACACAGGCTTGGACATTTCCTGTCCTATATTATCCAAGTGCCTCCTCCAATGCCCCAGCTCGTCAGCCTGCAGGTGTGCTCACGGGACAGCCGGCGAGGTTCAAGCATATCTGTAACAATACCGTTGACTTCAAAGCTGCAGTGACCTCCCTGACACAACATATGCTTGCTAGGGGCCCCATCCTCCCAGTGTCCTGGCCAGAGGTTGGACTACATATGTGCGGGACCGGCAGCATCAGCTTCCCACTCATGTCTCCCGTGTTTCGAACTGGTTTCGTCGCATGGTGCGCTGGCCAACTCACCCGCTGCCGAATGCTACTTCTTCCGTGCACATCCAGCATCAGCCCTTCACACAGCCAAATGCAGCGGGCCCACCTTCCCCTGCTATGTCTACTGGAATGTCATCTGCTAATGTGGATACTGCAACTCCGCTGGAAACCATACCAGCCGTAACAGGCAATGTGAATGCTGTCGAAGTGGCTGCAGGTGATGATGGCCTGCATCCTGCCAATGCGGCTGCTGCTGAAACTGTACCTCCAGCAGCAGCACGGCCACCACCGCTACAATCGTCACCACCAGCGTGATCACCACCAGCTCCCCCTCCTACATCTCCTACTACATCATCCCCTCCATCAACAGCCTCCTCTTCTTCCTCCTCCAATATCTCCTCCTCCTCGTCCCCCTCTTATGCTTCCCACTAATCATCATTTTCATCATCAACACATTCCTGGTCAGATTGTATGCCACAGCGGTCTGGTCGGTGGAGTCATTCATGGTACGACCAGCTGTTGCAGACGCCGCTTTGGCAGAAATGTTCCCTATCTCCACCACCGCCTCCCAGACAGTGGCCTCGTTTGTACTCAAACAGCATGGCCATCATGCCCCCATTGGGGGTTATAGATCTGCTCCGATGCCACACTCGCAATCATAGGAAACGACGTCGTCGCTCCCAAAATACACTGGGCAGGAATAGTACATACCGAGTCTGATGGCCACAATGTGGCGATGATTTTTAAAGTGCTGCATGCCTGCATGTGTACCAAACACGAGGTGCAGCCACTTGTGCAGCATTTGCACGACTAGCAGCCACTCTGAGCACAAATGCTGCTGATCAGCCTCCACTTCTTGCATCTGACCCGCCCATATGTCACCCACGTAGCCCTGACTGTTCCCCTGCTCCAACTGACAATCATGCACATTTGATGGAGCCCCAGACTGGAGATGATCTCTCTCTGGAACGCAACGAGTTAATACAGCAAGAGGAAACTGATAGAAATTGTCCAGCCCGGATTGAACCTTCCCCTATTGTGCGATCTGCCCGCCGCGCAATCTACAGAATCAAATGATCTTATAGTGGTACAGGGAGCCCACTGTGCCCACTATGCAATTAATGTATGTCTGCTCGCTTACAATTGCAACCCCCATACTGTGTCTGATTTTGCAATCATTGTCCACTGGATCAAAGAAAAGCACCAAGCAGTCTGCCCAGAGGATGATAGTATTGTGTCTGGTGTGAACATAGAAGTCCTGTCTATGGCATTTATGGGAAGACGACTGCAAGTCTAGCCTTCTCCACAGATTTACACACTCGACGTGGACCCGAATATTCGTGCGTACATTCTGCATCGTGCAGGTCATTTCAGAGCTGTGGCCTTTGCGGATAATTCATGGACCCTATAGGACAATGGCTGTCGGGTGCACGCTGTTTGAATAAATTGAATTCCTTTTCTTTGGACCATTTCTCGATTTGTGTGTGTCATCCTTGCGAAGGGGCCATGCGAATCTTGTCTGTATCGTTCCAATTTTAACGGATGTTCCCAACGGACAATTACTATCGCCGTCATGGTTTGAACGCGTAACCTGTTTATGAAGAGCTGGTATTCAGCCACACTGCAACTTCTATTTTGAATTTCTGTTGTCCTTTTTTTTTATCATGTGGCATTTCATGTGGTGGATCCTTTACCAATTGTTATATATTTTCCCTGTTTTTTAGTCGCATGCGGGTTTGAGTCTTCCTGTTAGTAACAATCAAGCGTATTGGTTGTGTGCCAGGTTGCTGCTGGATCAAAAACTGTTCTTGCTGTTGGACCAGGTTCGTTAGAAGTTTCATCTGTTCCAAAGACTTTTTCTCTTTTTTTCTCTTGTTTTCCCTCTAAGAAAAGGCCGTCGGCCTTGAGATATCATCATTTGAATTGACCGGCCTCCAGGTAATTCAGAATGATTTTAAAATTTTAATATTGTTTATGCTTTTCACCTGACTACCGTCTTCACCCGAGCATAACGCACCCTGAAATGAACTTATACAAGGTATGTGTGCGGTCCGATTCAGTCAAAATGAGGGTGCATTGTGTTCGGGGGAAGAAGGTATCTGGATTCTAACTTGGGTCTGTAATTTCAACAGTTAATGGGTGTATCAAATGAGCTAGGCCTGTTGGTCTGTACAAAAAAAAAGGAAAAAAAAAAAAGAAGAAAAAAAAACAACACTAAGTCTTGAACCAGGTGTTGTGTGCTTTTTACCATCATTCATTGGCCTCTTCTGTTCTTGAGATTCCTCTCCATCTCCCATCTTCCCGCTCTCTTTCAGTCTCACCCTTTCACCATTATTTGAATAGCAGTCAATGACTGTTGTTTTTGTTTTTTTTCTCTCTCGTTCCCTTTGAAACGGTTTTCACCTCTTTGCAGTAGCAGACGCAGATCCCAGGGTTCGATCCCTAGACCTTGCCCCACCTGTGTACAGTACCTGTGTAGACCCCGAGAGTTGAACCTGTGACCTGTGTATTCGTAAACAGTTGATAGGCTGTCATAGGTCCGTAGGTAGCAGGGGTTCGATCTGTAGGTCTATCGAATAGAAGTCTTAGTGAAGTCTAGAAGTCCTAGCTGTAGCCTTCTGGAAGGTCGGCAAGTGGGCAAGTGGTGAGTCAAGTGGTGGACTAAACTGCAGTGCGATTGCAGTACGACGGTGGTAGGTTGGCAGTGAGTCCCCACTCAGTCAGCTGTAAGGTCCAGTCAGTCCCAGTCCGGTCCAGCAAGTACCACAAGGGACTGTGAGCACCATGGGCGGATGGCAAAGGGCAGACCAACGAGTTTCAGAAGTATAAATCGAGAGGCAGCGCCCAGACATTCATTCATTCCTGCGTAAGGAGGTCTGCAGAGAGCCTGGAGCTGAAGTGGGCGAGAGAGAAGGAGCGTAGCATAGCGATAGGGTAGTTACGGCCATAGCCGCCATAGCTAGAGTTAGTGTGTAGCGAGTGTGTGTGTGTGTGTGAGTTCAGAGAGTCGCGTGTAGGATATCCAGGGTGATCCGGTGTATGTGAACAGTGAGTTGTTTGGGCGCTGAGTCGCCATAGCCAATTGAAAGTGAACTCGTATCTGGATGCCATGTCTCTGAGTGTTGAGTGGGCGCATGTCGCCAGTTTGCTGCGCTACTGTTTACATGCATGAAAAGTGTGAATGAGAACAAGTCTGATTGCATTGGTATCGGAGCTGGTACCCGCTAGTCCATGCGCGCCGTCGTGTGCAGGGCCTGATGCGCCATAGCAGAGGAGGCCGCCGAGAGTCATAGTCCGCCATAGCGGACCGGAAGGTTGGAGAAGCCGCCGCGCATCTGCAGAGAAGACCACAACGAAGAAGAAGA